CCCAAGGGCCATAGTGCCGCTGGAAGGATTAGGTAAAACGAAGAATCCAATGATCTCATCGGGAATCGAATCTACGACCTTTCGGCTCGATGCAAAGTGCGTCAACCAACTACGCTACCGCGTAGCCCGATTTAGACCATTACGTCATCATACGTATGTAGCACACTCAAAATGTTTTAGAAACAAATTTTAACAATTTTGTATACAAGTATATAAGGGGAGCACTATTATTACTTGCTTTGAGGCTGATTACGTCAATTTCAAAGCAACGTCAATTCAGAAACACTGATGACAAAATAAAATATGTAAATATCTTAAGAGCACTTGTTATTTTCCGAGATGTGGTGCTGTGAAGTCTGGTAGTTTACGAATGTTTCAGAGGCACTTCATTTTTCCATCTTCAGGGTTAAATTGTACGCCGAAAAAGCAAGTAAGAACACTAATTACTCTAACCTCATTCCTCTGAAATGTCGATAAATATATATCAGAATATTAAGATTTACATCCCAGGAGATAGTAATCTTCATAGTCACTTCCGTAAAACCCTCAAATCCAAAATAATTTTCAATTCCAAGCAACACAGAAATTCCATCACGTCATCTGTTTTTATGTGTCTCTCAGCTTCATGTCCAGCGGTAATATATACGGTTCCAATATTCCGAACTGATGACATATCCGCTACAATCAACAGCTGAGCGTTGGCTGAAGGCTATGTAAAGTCCACACGCACACACATACAACTGATTTCGCATCATACTACTGTCCGCTTTATTCAACCTGACCGCTGTCAGCAGAATGCGCAGTGGATTTGGTTTAGCCCATTAACTGAGATAAAGATTGTAAGGTATCTAAGGGTGAAAACAGGGGCTTAGTTACAGTGGGTCACCCTCCCTCACTCCCACGATGTAGATGCAATCACTTCCCATCTATTTATCGCCATGTTTTCCTTATGCGCGACTCAGAGGCCAGGCATAAGAACACCGCCTGTAGAAGTGAACGTCCGTGGAATTACGTATGCTCTCTTTCTATTGAAACAACGGTGAAACTGCCCACATATTTATAAATCAGTTAGTACAGTCTGGATTCAATCACTTAATCGAAATGCGTAGGAGAGAAAATGACCCTACAGAAGTGATAGTCTATCTCTGTTCATAGTGAACCGTAAACATTGGTAATGGATATTGATTCAGGCAAAACGAAGTGCATTTAGAAACAACGGAAATATTTACGTTGATATTAATCCTCTAAAGCACTGTGGTTACTATACGTACCATTTAATTCAGTATTCACAAACGCTGTCTTTTGCCCACACAATGTTATTTATATGTACCGTATGATTCTCAAAATAAACAGCAATTACTCCATAAACAGCATTAACCGGTTGGTCTTCTTAATGGTGACGGAGTGTTTATTGTGACGCAGGAGCTGAGGTTTCAGTATTTAGATTAACTTCAGGACTGAAGGTCAAAGCAAAGTATACCTCAAGCGTCTGTAACAGTTGATGTCAATCAAACATCCGTCATAAATGTTTACGTCAGCATATTAAATATGCTGTAAAAGGTAAAACTATCCTTGTATCAGGCCTTAGAGACCCATAGGGTTGTGAGACGTTGAGGCTTCTGCATTTTCTAGACAGTCGGCTCACAGATGGCGGTGAGGTTGTCAGCCTTATACACCGGCGGCCCTTTAACCCCCCAAGAGGATTTCTGGTACTCATTTCTGTTAGAGACTGAGTCGACTCGAGGGCCATAGTGCGGCTGGAAAGGATAGATCAATTGAAACATGCAGTGACCTTATTTGGAATTGAACCCGCGACCTTCCGGCTTGTAGCATAGTGCCTCAACAAACTACGAACCGCGTGCCCCCAGACGATAGACCAATCTGTTAATTATATCAGCTCCATAGTAAATTGCGTCATTTGTTGGTGTACTAATTCAGATTATGAGCCACCGGATGAAGTGACTCGTGAATAATGACGTATGGAGGCTGTGGAGTGAAGCGGTGGTGATGTAATTTGAGGTACTATCTTGCAATTTGACTACAGGAATCGAGGAAAACAACAACCTCAGTTGGTACAGTATGAGTCGAGACCGAATTCGAAGTAAACACCTCAAAATTTTTGGTTGGTACCAAATATGGCACTGGATCCATTTTAATGGTTAACACCTGTCCCAGTTTCCGTCTTATATAGGAGCGAAAATGTGAATAGACAATAGGATTATTGGGGATATCACTAACTTCTAATGTAAGCGGCCTCCGTAGTTAGAGGTAACGTTCCCACCTCATGACTCGTAGTACGCGGGTTCAAATACCGGGCGGAGGTCGTCGAATTTTTAAGGGCGGAAAAATTCAGGGAACAAGTCCTCCGGGAGGGACTTTAAGCCGTGGGTCCCGTGTCGTAGCTTTACAGCACGTAAAAGAACCTCATATCTCCAAAGGAGGTCACTGAGCCAAATTAACGGACGTTTCCCGCCCAACAGCAGTCTCTAATACCTCTGGTAGATGGGGGAAGCATTATAGACACCTCTCAGCTAGTAGAGCCGGTCTCTACTGGGCGGGACTGATGGTAAGCACCAGTACCGGTAGGACATAGAGACTGGTAGAAATCACAGAGGGAAGCACAATGGACCAATACAGGTCTAAGTGCATGGGGGAACCCACCCCCTCCAATAACTAACTAACTAACTTGTAATATGAGGCTGTAAGAAATGTGTAACAGAGAGCAACCTATGCCAGAAATCGACCACGTAGAAAAGGGCTAATTATGGACATTAAAAAACTTACGTATTTATTTATAAAAAATACAAGCCGACGTGTTTCACGAACAGAAATGTCGTTTCGATCTTTTTTCTCCAAATATGTACATTGAGCCACTGTTCACAAACACAGAGACAGTACTATGAGATAGAAACACATAGATAGATGGCCATAGTGATCACAAATACAGAGTACCACGAAGCTGAAACTGCATAAAGTTCATACCAACTTTCAAGAAATTCGGGTGAAAGGTTCACATGATGACAATGGATGGATAATCAGACAGACAATATTTACGTAGCATTAATGTCTCCTAATTACATCGCCTCAATAAGATATCCAAAAATACGAAAATACACAGTAACTGAGCTAAAAAAAAAAATTGAGCGACATTTAATATCTGTATGCAATATTCGATATAAAAATCGATAGCTGTTTCTTCCGTCAATATTATCAGGTTGG